ATAGAGATATATTGAAGAACATGGAGTAGTCGGGTGCGTGGCATCGTGCCTTACGGCAATTGCTGGTACTTCCCGTACCGTAATTAAAAATCTTGGTACAAAACCCAAAAAGATTACACAAATGTTTGCACATTATTAACATCTCTATAAAATAACTGATAATTTGATGTGCATATGTCCAATAAACATTTTTAAATGACATTTTTAAACTTATTTAATCAGTTCTTCATTTTATCAACACAAATAAAAGGTTTTTTGAATTATTAAAATCGGACGCTCCGTTCTCTTAAAAACTGAGTTACCGTTTAGACATTTTTTGCCTCGTATCTTCGAAACGGCTAGACCTGTCTATGCCAAAAACTAATCAGCACGCGTCCTTATTAATAGGAATCGAATGTTTTTTGAATTATTCAAATCGATTGAACTGTTCCCGAAATCGTCGACGAAAATTTATGTCCGTACACAAACACACACACATATATCCATTTTTCTAGGGTATGCCAAAATGTTCAAAAACCTTTGAAACGTTAAGATATATAAAAATTTGCAATTATTATAACTTACCCTACGAGAAGTTAAAAATTAATGTTATTAGATATTATAAGAGATAGAGACAGAATAAAAAATCAAGTGATATAGTGAAAAATCAAGAAAGATAAAAAATAGTCAGAAAAAGGGATACGATAAGATTTAGAAAGATATAGTGAGGGATAAAGAGAGCTAGAGATAGAATGAACATAGAAATTTAATGTTAGATATTATGGGAAATAGAGACAGAATAAAAAAATAAAGAAATATAGTGAGAGATCAAGAAAGATAAAGAACAGTGAAAGAAAGGGATAGAATGAGATTTAGAAAGATATAGTGAGGGATAAAGAGTGCTAGAGATAGAATGAACATAGAATATTAATGTTAGATATTATGGGAAATAGAGACAGAATAAAAAAATAAAGAAATATAGTGAGAGATCAAGAAAGATAGATAATAGTAAGGGAAAGGGATATAATGATATTAAGAAAGATATAGTGTGAAGAATGAACATAGAAAATTAATGTTAAATATTATGAGAGAAAGAAACAGAATAAAAAATAAAAATATAGAGAGATCAAGAAAGATAGAGAATAGTGAGAGAAAGGGATACAATGATATTTAGAAAGATATAGTGAGGGATAAAGAGAAATAGAGATATCATGAACATAGATAATTAATGTCAGATATTACAAGAGATAGAGATAGAATAAAAAATCAAGTCATATAGTGGGAGATCAAGAAAGATAGAGAAAAGTGAAAGAAAGGGATAGAATGAGATTTAGAAAGATATAGTGAGGGATAAAGAGTGCTAGAGATAGAATGAACATAGAAAATTAATTTTAGATATTATGGGAAATAGAGACAGAATAAGAAAATAAAGAAATATAGTGAGAGATCAAGAAAGATAGATAACAGTGAGGGAAAGGGATATAATGATATTAAGAAAGATATAGTGTGAAGAATGAACATAGAAAATTATTGTTAAATATTATGAGAGATAGAAACAGAATAAAAAATAAAAATATAGAGAGATAAAGAAAGATAGAGAATAGTGAGAGAAAGGGATACAATGATATTTAGAAAGATATAGTGAGGGATAAAGAGAAATAGAGATATCATGAACATAGATAATTAATGTCAGATATTACAAGAGATAGAGATAGAATAAAAAATCAAGTGATATAGTGGGAGATCAAGAAAGATAGAGAAAAGTGAAAGAAAGGGATAGAATGAGATTTAGAAAGATATAGTGAGGGATGAAGAGAAATAGAGATAGAATGAACATAGTTAATGTCAGATACTATAAGAGATAAAGACAGAATAAAAAATCAAGTGATATAGTAAAGATCAAGAAAGACAGAAAATAGTGAGAGAAAGGGATAGAATGAGATAGAAAGGTGTAGTGAGGGATAAAGAGAGATAGAGGTAGAATGAACATGTAAAATTAATGTTAAATATTGTGAGAGATAGAGACAGAATGAAAAATCAAGTGATATAGTGAGAGATCAAGAAAGATAAAGAATAGTGAGAGAAAGGGATATAATGATATTTAGAAAGATATAGTAAGAGATAAAAAGGGATAAGCACATAACCCAATGAGAGATAGGATAAAATTCTAATTGTAGATAGAAACTTAATGTAAGTGCGCTAAAAGTGCATTGATTTATTATATTGATTATGAATCTTTAAGCATTTGATTATCATGAATGAGGTAAAAGACTAATTTTTTTAACAAATATTTATCCTAGGTTTTTGTATGGAACAAAAACAACTCTAAACAAACTAGGTATACTTTAAAATAGCATTTCAAATAAGATAGTTAATTTGTATTGTTTGTACCATCCTGAATCATTGATTGGCAATTCTTACTTGTGTATTTATCATATATTTTATAATTTTTAAACCAATGAATTAATATGAAAGAAGTGTAAAAGAAAATTGTTTACAAACCAATTTATTACCTTTATTTTCCTCACTCGCTTTGATCATTCCGTCTTCCTGTTCGCTCTTCAGCAATGCTTCGTTAACATTAATATTCATATTGACTAAATCCTTCTTCACCGATTCCACAGATTTTGGTACAAGTTTTTGTTCTCGAAGAGACTCCGCCAGAGACTTCTGTTGTTTGGCCAAGGGTTCCGGGTCGAAGTTGAAGACATCGCCCAATCTGGTCGTCAGCCACAAGGATCGAGGACCAGAACCGCCACTGGCTTCGTTCATTTGACAACAAACTAGAATAGAAATAAAAAAACTACTGACCAGCAAAAATCTATTTAAATGCACTAAATGTAAAACTCTTTGAGTGAAGTACAAAACTTTAGTAGCAAAAGAAATAATGAATCTACTGATGCACAAAGTGGATCTTGACTTTATCAAGGAAAACAAAAATGTACTGGAGAGCAAACTTGATCTGATGGACTCTAGTCTAAAAAAAGATGAAAAGACATAGCTTATCAATTTTTGAGACTTGAAATTAGTTAAGCAGTTTCTGATACAACTGCTCGACGATTTTATCGAACACTTTTTCAACTTCGGTGTCAAACTTGACTTGAATCAATATAAAAGCCGTAAAATATAGCATTGGAAAAAATCATAAAATTAGCAAAATGTAACCTCAATTAAATATACTTGTGTCTGACCTGATGTAAGATATGCAAGCCAGTCTTCCATATCAGCATCTCCCGAAAACTGCAAGACTACAGGAGGTGGTGAATGTTTATTTGAAGGAGCTCCATGTCCCAAAGATCTTGGAGCTTGTAAAGCAATACGCGGAGATCCAGCTTCACTGCAGCACCAAACACAACAGACATCCGATAGACTGATTTGAATCTACAGAAAAAAAACAGCAATAAAAACCAATAACTTTAACAAAAATGTATTTCCATTACCATAGTTGTGGCTCCATCAGCATTCAGTATAGTCAGACTGCCACTGTCCAAAGTGCTGTCTCCAAACCATTCCAACTCAAGCAAACAGTCGGCAAACATGTTGTCATCTTTTAGGCAGCATCTGGCTTCACCAGTTTTGGTCCAGGAGCCTCCTTCAGCAGCATTTTCGTAATGTTCCCATTTGGGATCAGTGGAATCAACTGTTGCATTGAGTTGTTTTAAGGAGTTCAAGATATCCAGACGCCACTGTTGGGTTAACTCGACTTGGGGAAGAGAGGACGACGACTCCATAAACCTACAAGTAATTGGTTGATAGACATAAGAATGACAGATGCAAGTATTAACTTTTTTTCCCTTACCAGTTTGGTAGATGAGCAGGATCAACCATACAGGCCCCAGCAGCTACTCCATCCCAGCATGCAGGAGTCTCCTGGACACCGCCCTCGCCCCAACACATAGAAGCCCAGTCGTCCTCATCACCTGGAACTCCTCCTGCATAACTGTTTGTGTCACAAGAGTCTGCATCGAACACACTGACGTCGGCATCTGCACTTGCTTCAGTCCCAACCTGTAAGGAAGAAACACTTTTTGAACATTAACCCTTATCCCTAGGTTGCCGCCGCTCCGGCGGTAAAATTCATATGAATCTCGGTATTAGCGAGTGGAAAGGGTTAAAACCCAAAGAAACGGCCTGGCCAATTTTACCAAAAACAAATCAGCACGATTTTCAATTAATATCTTCCAACAATTTTGGAATTTTTAAAATCAATTCAAGATTGTGGCCTAAAACGTGGGCAAAAATGTTGTTTTTGCTAGTTACAAAGAAACGGCTCCGCTGATCGTCGCGAAAAACTGACTAACGCTAGTCCTCATCAAGCTACATTGAATGGCTTTTAATTTTTTTAAATAAATCCAGCGGTTTTTTGAGAAAACGTCGACTAATTTGTTAGAATACAACATAAGATACTAAATTTCCAATACAAAGGTCACTTACCATTGAACCAACACTTCTGACAGGGCTCCAAGCTCGTGGATTCTTCAATTGTGTTTCAAAATGTTTTGCAGTCACAGAAAATTCTTCAACCATTGAACTTGGCCTGTAATGAACCAAAAATAATATTATTTACAAAATAATCTATATATCATTAGTAGTCATATCTCTCAATAATAAATTTCTTTCAACTATCCCACAGAAAACTTTTACCAGCAAGTTAATTTTTATATTCTAGGTCAATTTACCTAGCTGTATTTTTCCTGATATTATTAGTTTGTTGATTCGTCTGACACTTTTGTTTATCTTGATTTTCAACATTTTCATGTAATAATAAATGTTCAGTAGGTGCTGAATGAGAAGTCTCTTCGAGATCATTTAATTGCAATGAGAATGCAGCATGTTGCTCAGGAGTACTACCTAGGGTGTTGGTCCTATTCTAAAATGGAAAAAATATTTAAACATTATTAACAGTCAGTGTATATATAATTTGAACACAACTCGTATAAAACATTTTGTTATTATGTAAAAGATTATAAAAATATAAAAAAAGAAAAATTTACAATTTTATATTACAAGTATTTATAAATTTTTAAATGTCTCAAATAATACTTTGGCATCATAAAGTCAATATTTGAAGAATATGATTTTCAAATTGGATTTAAATTTAAATTTTCATAAATTAGAAAAAGTCTGATAAAAATCTATAAAAAACATAGATTTAATCGATTTAATAACAAAATATAATAGTTTTGTAACTGAACATTTTGGAAAATACCTCTAATCTTAAAATCATAGAAAAAATTGTTCGAAAACTTATAAAAATTTGAAAATCAATGATTTTTTTACAAAATATCAAGTTTCGGAAAATTTTGATATTCTTGCAGCATATGTGAAACAGGATCCACAACTTTTATACGTAATATTTTTGGTTGAGATTTATGTAACATGTATGTAATTATTAGGTAATGTACGTCCATATTTCTTACAGTAAAATTACGAAATTGTACGTGACTAGTTTAGTGAGTATTATACGATTTAAGGTTTTATTTAGATATTTAGATATTTACCAATTGCATTAAGCTGTGGTGTTTCTTATCTCGAGGACTTCCTGAGACACTACGTCTGCTATTATTGCTTGCTGAAAACAAATAAACAAAACTTATTTCAGATTTAATAGCATATAATTGTATATAAATAAGTTAATAATTAAAATAAATAAGCTCATCAAAATTTTACAAAAAAGAAATATAACAAGCACCAAGCAAGAATATTACTTTTTGCCTTTCAATATGAAAATTATCATGAGGTTCTTCTAGTGTTTTATTTTTACCCAAAGATGCCATGCTCTGTGTTCTGCTCATTGGAAGTTTGGCCTGGACACATCTCCATTTTTTACCAGTTGCATCTGTAGCACTTACACCAGATCGAAAATACAGACATCTGTCTTCGCTTCCGATACCCCAAACCTATGATAAAATAAAAGATATAATATATCTAAACAATGATATAATTTTTCATTTTCAATTTTTCAAGTGGATTTAAAATAGAATACCCAAGTATTACTAATATTAAATTAATTTTATTAAAAATTCAACAAAACAATATTTTTAAAAACAATACTTTACTATACAGTAACACATTCCAATCATATTATTGAGTAATTTAATTTTGTGTATTTGTTTATCTATAATAAAACGTGATCAATAATAAAAATTATTTCAGGCTCTTATTAATTTATTATTTTCAAATGTCTCAAATTATATTTTGGCATTATAAAGTCAAAATTTGTAAAATGTGATTTTCAAAATTTGATTTGAAATATAATAATTTTGTTATTAAACATTTTGAAAAATAATACTAATCTTAAAAATCCTAGAAAAATGTTTTAAAATTATAAAAATTTGAAAATCACTTATTTTTTTCAAAAAGTATCAAGTTTTGCATAATTTTGATATTCATGTAACATATATGTGTCCACAACTTTTTTACGTAATATTTTTGATTGCAATTTATGTAACATTTATGCAATTCTTACGTAATGTTCGTTTCACATTTCTTACACTAAAATTACGAAACTGAAATAAAAATTACTCTAATCTTAAAAGTCATAGAAAAATGTTTGAAAATTATAAAAATTTGGTAATCATGGATTTTTTTAAAAAATATCAAGTTTTGCAAAATTTTTATATTCATGTAACATGTATGTAACAGGTTCCACAACTTTTTCACGTAATATGTTTGATATCAATTGAAGTAACATTTATGTAACTATTATATAATATAGTGATATAAGTTTCATATTTCTTATACTAAAATTGCAAAATGAAAATTACTCTTATTTTAAAAGTCATAAAAAAAGTTAAAATGATAAAAAATTGAAAATCATTGATTTTTTTTTTCAAAAATATCAAGTTTCGAAAAGTTTTGATATGTGTAATATATATGCTTATAGATCCACAATTTTTTTTACGTCATATTGATTTCAATTTATGTAACATTTGTGTAATTATTAATTACGTATCATCATGTTACGTAATGTACATTACATATTCCTTACATTAAAATCACGAAATTGTAATCAATACATAACTGGTTTTGTAAGTATTGTACGATTTAAGGTTTTATCACATCTATTATAAATATTAATCACCTGATCGTTACTAGCAACTGATATTTGTGACATCGATCCAACCATCTCTACCCATCCTGCACCGACAGCACCTTCCTCGCCGCCACCAGGAGAAATGCCTTTTCGGAACCAAACTCTTTTATCAGAGGTCAAACACCTAAAAGAAACAAATTTAAATAATTCAATCAATCAACAAAAAATCCAATAGAATTAAACCAGTGCACAATCTCTTGTTTTTTTGAGTAACTTCTAATGCAACTTCTTACAAGCCCGTTTTAAACGTTTAATAAAATATTATCTTACTAGGGCTACAGGTACGTTTTTTAATTAAAATGAAAGGAATCAGGCTTTTTCTTTAAATATTCATTTTGTTCATTTAAAAAGATTTGTGTGCCATGAGAACAATCACATGTCAACGAACTTTGTTGAATGAAGTAAAGTACTTTAAACAAAATAAGGAAAATACTTTGATTAAACTTATTCGTTGCAAGAATCAGAGTTGTAAGAATCAAATTCCAATTTATGGTCATTTTAAATGCTTAAATATACTTGATAAATGGTGATACCTTGCCTTGTAAATAATCAGGTAACAGAAGAACAGATAAATCCTCATTACTATAATACAATTCAACTATACAGCATTATACAATGTTAATTATAACAAAAATAAATGAATTAAAAAACTATTGTTTGGTAAAAATGAAGTCAACTAAATATGACTCAAAAAAAAAAAAGATATTGGAAAACCTAAGTGCAGATTTTATATTGAAAGTAATTTTAATCATTACTTTAAATTTTATTTTGTGTTACTAATCAAAATATTAAAATTATTACAATTATTATTAAATATTTGTCAATTATATCATTTCTTACCAAACAGAATTTGAACCGACAGCTACTTGTGTGATTTTCAAACCTTCACCAGGAGGTTTGACTTCTAACCAGGTTTCACCTGCAAATAATAATTAAGAATAAAATATTTTTAGTTTATTATAATTATTAATAATTGCATAGAAAAACTAATGGAATTGCATAATAACATAGCTAATTAACATTAAGAAGAATATACAATATTAACTGCAATCAATAAAATATATATTGACAATATTTGTATAAATGAGACAAGTGCATCCGATGATGACCAAAAATGACAAATATGGTATGCTAAAAGTGTCCAAATAAATTAGTATGTTTTGCTTCAGAATATTGTAAAAGTAATTTTAATTGTAAAAGCATTGATAGTAATTCAATTTCAAACCAATATATAATTTATATTGTTATTTTAAATATGCCATAAGCAAATCTTTAGAAGATCATCAATCTTATTCTGGCTTATTAAATTTCCTTACCCATGGGAGCATCCCTTGTAACTCCGCCCCTGGCCAAAGCTCTTCCAGACCACAAAGCGGCCCATACCAGTCCAGTACTGCCAACGCTGACTCTGGTAGCCTCAGAACCTGCTGGTGTAGCTACACAAGTCCATCGTCTTCCTTCTGGTGAGGTAGCAGACACACCACTTCTGAACATTACCTAAAAAAATGAGAGATTATAAATACTACAGACGAAAGATTCAACTTTAAGTGCGTTCTAAAAATCTGTACAAATCCTGGTATTTAGTTAAGAATGATTCTTGGCCTTTTACCTAATGGAGAGTAAGATAAAATACTATATGAAATTAATTTAGGTATAGTTTTGTATTAATAAGAAAGTGTAATTGAAAATGTATAAATTAATATTTGTTGTTTTGATATTTTTAGTGAATAAACAATACTCTTTTTTGAGTAAAAACAGGGACAAAAATGTACTTTGACTATATTGCTTTGGAAGATATGAATCTTGTATATATATTTTTTCTAGTATTCTGTGTAAACAGTATAAAAAATATAAAAATAATATACTATAAGTTTATGCAATTAATGATTGATGATAACAACAGATTATAAGTTTGATGTAATAAATCTTATTCGGTAAGACATATTTGCTTAAATCAGCTAAGACTACTAATAATGTTCTGAAAAACAATCATTTTTTTTTACATTTGTGTAATTAGGAATATATTGGATACCTGGTATTGCAAGAATAATCTTTTATCTTACAATATACTATAATATAAGACATTATCTTAACATACCCTTCCTTGTGCAGTGACAGCCCAAACAAGCAAAGTTCCTGGTGCAGCACCTTCTAATTCTGTGCCACCAATGCACACATCTATAAAGGGCTCCTGAAACAATGTGAAATTTCAAAATATTGCTCAATAAAAATTTTGAAAAATATTGCCCCAGTATTGGGTAATATAATTTGATTGAAGTGTAACTTCTAAGGCTGATTTCAAAAAGGTTACCCTCATCATGTACTCCATCTTTTTTTATTTTCTAATTGCCTTAAAATAATTTTATGAGAAAAAACACCATAAATCAATATCTACCCATTCCTATTTTAATTTCCATGCCCTAATTTTTTACCTGTGTCGGATCTCTATGCAAAGGTGCCACAGCACACCAAGCACCCATAGCACTGTATCTCCTTCTCCTGCACCACTTTCTTCTTCGAACACACGATGACCATTGTTTTCTTGGTCCAAACTGTGCTGGAAAATCTACTGCATAAGTCCAACCATCATGTTCAAGAGGTTGACCTTAAAAAATAATAATAATTAACAAAATTATAAAATCTTGCATTAAAACAATTATGTCTTTTATTACCATCTAATGTTGTATCAATATACCAATCTCCTTCCCATTGCCATGCCATCGAAGGTAAACGGATTTGGTCAATGGAACGATCAACAAGTCCATCAACAGAACTGAAATGGTACCTATCTGTTGGGAGCAGACGACTGCTGAAGCCTTCCAGGGGCAACCATCGCTGGAAAAGATAAAATTTATATTAAAAAAAAAATTATATTATAATCTAGTGTTAAAATTGAAAAAGATAGATAAATAAAGAGGAAAAAGGGTAGATAGTTGAATTAAAAAGTGAAAATGTGATAGAGAACGAGATAGGGAAAAGAAGATAGAGATAGTTTGAGAGAAAAAACTAGATATATAAATAGATCTATAAAGAAAAATATGAATAGAAAGAGATATATGAGGGTTTAATTTGATTTGATTTATATTTGATAAAAATTATATTTTAATTTGCTGAATGTTATTCTATTTAATTATTTACATTTTTTTAGTGTTAAAATTGAAAGAGATAGATAAATAGAGAGGGAAAAGTATAGATAGATGAATAAAAAAGTGAAAATGTGTCAGAGAAAGGGATACGGAAAAAGAGATAGAGAAAAAGATATAGATAGTTTGAGAGAAAAATCTAGATTTGTAGATAGATCTATAGAGAAAAATATGAATAAAAAGAAATATATCAAGGTTTAATTTGATTTGATTTATATTTGATAAAAATTAGATTATAATTTGCTGAATCCTGTTCTATTTAATTATTTAAATTCTTCTAGTGTTAAATTTGAAAGAGGTAGACAAATAGAGAGAGAAAACGATAAATAGATAAATAAAAAAGTGAAAAGGTGATAGAGAAAGAGATCGAGAAAAGGAGAGAGAGAAAAAGATAGAGATATTTTGAAAAAAAAAACTAATAAAAAAACATATATCAAGGGTGAATTTGATTTGATTTATATTTGATAAAAATTATATTATAATTTGCTGAATATTGTTCTATTTAATTATTTAAATTCTTCTAGTGTTACAATTGAAAGAGATAGATTAATAGAGAAGGAAAAGGATAGATAGATAGATGAAAACTTGAAAAGGTGATAGAGAAAAAGAGAGAAAAGGCGAGAGAGAGAAAGATAGAGATAGTTTGAGAGAAAACTAGATTCATATGTGGATAGATCTATAGATATAAAGTTATTAAAAAAATATATCAGGATTTAATGAATGTTTTTTTTGATTTTCCTTATTTATTTATAATGTGTCTTTTACTTTTTACCTCATTTTCATAAGTCTCTTCCTTTACTCTTATAGGTACATCTAGTCCGTGGACATGAACATAAACCTGTCTATCAACCCCAACAGCCCACAAAAAATGGGGTACAGCAGAGAGTCTTTTAAATTCCAATCCAAGATATAAAAACTCACGCCAGACTGAACCAGAAGTGGAAAGTGCATAAATCCGTCCTTCGGTGTTCAGAGCAAATAGCAACGAGGAAGGCATTTCTAGAAGATAGAACAAATTATTTATTGTAGATCCAAAGAAGAATCGTAATGGTAAATTTATGTGTTTACAGCATTTCAAGTCATTCTAAATCGTTTGACAATTAGATTGGGAGTAAAATGTGAGTGTTTAAGTGAAAATTTAATAACTAATACTCGTACCGTACCCGTGAAAAAGTAAATAATATTTTGTGATAAAAATCAGTATAAAAATTACTAAAAACTCTTTTGCAAAATGAGGGTTAATAATAAGAAGGTGAAAAATTAAGCTCTTAATTAATTAAGCTCTAACTGAAATTAAAACCCCAAAGAATAATTAAAATAATAATGCAAAAAAGCATCAAGATCTTGTACTCATAAAAAATATATGAACAAGATGTAGTAGATGTTACAGAAAATATTATTCTTATCATTTTTTCTGTAATCGTGCATTTTATCCTGCATATCCATTATATAAGTATGTTATTTTGTTAGAAAATGAGCAAAAATTAATAGATAGTATATATTCCTTCAAACGCCTGATAATCATTATTAAATTATACAATAATTATTATTAAAGTTATACAGTTTTGGAAATCTATGAGGTCTATGACAAAATGTCATAGTACTATTTCACAAAGACAGTACAGGGTAGTTTATAAAAGGTATTAGGAAAATTTAAACTAGTCAAAGGTGATTAGCTTCTAACTTCTACTGTAATTACATCTAAAACCAGCATAAAGGATCGACCGGTAAAATAAAGAGATTAGCAAAGACTTCTTATCTCGATTTGAGCCCGACAAAGAATGCAATGACTTTTATCTTTGGGCCCATGCTTTCTATGCTGATGTTTCAAATAAAACCAAGCAATTTATTTGTGGACTGCCTTTTTAAAAATTTCCATCTCACCATTGCTTTATCTTATATGTATATCATTTTATCTGTACAACAAAGTCAAAGGTTTTTGTAATTAGATGCATTTTTTTAATATATATGTTATTAGAGTTCCTGCATTATTAAAAGGCTATGTTACAGGCAGTCGATAAATCTAAGATGAGTAAAAACTTTGTGAGTTGCCTTTTAAAAATTTCGATCCCAGTATATGTCATTTTATTCGTACAATATAAACAAAATGGTTTCTCTAATTAGATGCATTTTTTCTTAATAGATATGTTATTATAGTTCCTGCATTAATAAAAAACTATGTTACTGGTAGTCGATAAACCTAAGATGAGTAAAAACGTTTGAGACTGATTATATCATTAAATAAATGAATACATCACATCATTTCCCACTTTCCCTATATGAAAATCTCATTTAAAATTGTCATTTAAGAATATGCATAAGTTTTGTTATTAAAAGGAAATTGTAAAACAACACAATAGACTTTATTAAAGGTATAAAAAGTGATTATGTTTTATTAAGGTTATATATGTGTATTTTTGCAAGTTAATCCTCAGTATTTGTTTTAATAATTAAAAATGTATCATTCACAAATAAGTCGCAGAAGTATATGTTACATAAATTATAATATAATCAACCATTTTATACCTTATAAGTCATTTACAAATTTGTCAAATTGTGCAAAACAAATCAATACATTTCATTTCCATAAAACTTACTGTTTAACAATTATCATTTCACTACACGATGGCACTTGAATTATTACATAACTAAATTATTATTTCGACACTTGTTGGATATTAAAATATATTTTATTATTAATTATTTATCGGTGGTTTTATTAATCCGATCTGTTGAGGTTATAAGAAGTGTGACTAAGTTTGACGTTTGAAAGACGAATGAAATTATGGCGCCATCTTTGAAAATGGCGTTAAACTAATGATTTTAACTCAGTGGTTTACAACCTTTTTTGCAACAGTTTAATTTTATATACCAAAATGTTCAGAAGGTTTTGAAACGTAAAGATATATAAAAATTTTCATTTTCAATTTTTTTGGAAGTTAAAAATACATATTGAGTTCACACTCTTTCTTAATCGAAAATGACAAAATTAAGTTAGCTACAAGTAAATGTTTAATTATTTGGCGAGATTTTTGTAAGGTTTAAACTTACATCTCTCATACTATTGGCTATGTGCGAAAGCATGGAAGGGGAAGTCAAATCGACCGAAGCGTTCGTAGTGGCTAACTTGGAGCACTAAAAGGGGCTATTATAAACAAAATTTTAAACAAAAACACATAAAATATTTATTTATTTCAAATTTAAATAAGATATTTAAAAATGAGCCACCATATCTGTTGTGTAGTGGGTTGTAGAAATACCAGCAGAAAAAGTGACTGCAAATTCTATACATTTTGTACAGCTAAGTGGAAAGAAAATCAACGGGAAAAGTGGATCGCAGCGGTTAGAAGAATAAAGTAAGTATCATAACCTTATTGTTATAAAAATACAATTTGGAGTATTATGAATAGTTGTAAAATTGTTATGTTTAGCAAAAAGAAAAATTATAAGTCAATAAATTGTTGTATTATCAAAATTTAATGCTTACTAAAAAAATGTTTTGTAAAACAATGTAATTAATACAAGCCTGAAATAATGAAAAATACATATTTATATATTGTATATTGATTATGTATAACTATTATCTATATATTAATTACATTTTATTATATAATAATTGTAATTTTATGATTAAAAGAAAAATAAAAGTTATCACATAGCGAAAAAATGTTTATTTTGCAAACAGTTTAATTAATACAATGCTGAAATAATGCGAAATATATATTTGTAGTGTTGATGGATCACCGTGGGTTCCCAAGCATTTGCAGTGAATCGGTCGAGGTATTGAGTCCTACCTACTTGTCAACTTGGTCTTGTCTTTATAATAATGTCTAAATTATGTCTTTATAATAGTGTCTAAGTCTTTAGTTTGACCAAAAAAATGAGTAAATTAATTTATTATTTACTTATTCTATTGATAAAATACTATTTATCATTATTATATGTTTTTATTAAGAACTATTCCGAGATTATGACATAAGCTTTGAGGCACTTAACCTTAAAATTATTTACTGCATTTCTTTATTTAATTAATCATTATACTTAACTATGTTTTAAGTACGTTGAAGTAAATTTAATAATTTCAATAAACATTCAGCGTTCACATTATTACTGTATCTTGTTTATTATTATTTATAACAATTATTTAATATCTTTTTTCTTTAACAAACATGTAAAACCCATGAAAAACACACACTGATAGCCCCAATCAGTTCATATTTATTACGGCGCTGCATGGGCGCTGCAGTCACGCTCGGAGCGAATTGGTGTCCAGTCTACATCATTTCTTGTTTTGTATTTGAATGGCAAATTTGATTATTTATAAATGTTCCTTGTTTCACCTGACGAGTGATTCACTTTACGAACATGTCTATGGATCGAACTATAATTTAAGTAACAAAAACTATACCATAGATAAAAGAAGAGTATACTATACTATAGATGACACACGTGTGTGTGTAAGTGAAATATTACTGGAATAAACTCAACTGATATTAACAGACTACAAATTAATATGCAATATTTTGTAAAACTAGTTGGTATTGGTATTTTGCCTTGAGGCAATTTACATGAACTTCCCGATATATGTAAATAATCGACTGTAAATACTCTTCTTTTATCTATGAATCGACCTAATCAACAAAAAAGAAATTAATTTATGAGTGAATAAAAGTATTCCAAGTGGATTTATTACACATAATTGAAAACGATAATTGTTAACTCGGAGTATTTTCTAAGAGCAAATTTTCAAAAATCAACAATTTTTGTAATTGAACTTGTTTCCGTAAGACTTTAATGGTTTAGTATGTTCATCAAGACCAAGTACTCTGTCGTTATACCAAGTAAATCATATAATGTTAATTTTACAGAACGTCTTGGCGTAAGGCCGTAATATTTCAGTAAGTTCTATAAGACCATGATATATATCGCCAAAAAAGTTCCATAAAAATCGACTTAAATTTTTTTCAACAGTTAATTACAAGAAAACGGCTCGGTAGATTTTCATCTAAAACTAATCTGTATCATTCCCAACTAATATCTTTCGAACAGTTGTTGATTTTTTTAAATTGATTCGGTAGTATGAGATTAAATGTGGACGAAAAGTTTAACACCTTTTTCCATATGACAAAGAAACGGCTTGGAAGATCGTCGCACAAAACTGACAAACAATAGCCCTCATTGAGATACATCAAATGGCTTTTAAATGTCTGAAATCGGTTCCGGCGTTTTTAGAGCGAACGTCGATGAAAGATCTAATTTTGACAAATGCCAAAAAAAACGATACTAATTTTTGAAAACTGAAAAATTAAACGATTTGTCGCAGGGCCGTGATATTTTGTATGATCTATAAAACTATAATCATAAAAAATTCTCAAAATTGCAATTCTTGTAATTTTTTACCCCGTATCTTCGAAACCGCTGGACCTATCCTCGCCAAAAGCTAATCAGCACGTCTCCACGTCAATACGAATCGAATGTTTTTTGATTTTTTCAAATCGGGCACTCCGTTCTCTCAAAAGTAATAAAATAAGACAATATTTCTATGATGAGTTTTAGAAAGATCTTACACACATATAAGAGAATTAAGTTTTTAATATTGGTTTAGGTTTAATTCATTCTCAATTTTGATTTAATTTTGCAAATAAAATTTAAATATAAAACTATTTTTTAAAAGTATAACCCTTACCCTTACACAAGCCGTTTCATAATTGTGGATGCTTTTTTGTTTATTATTATAACTTGAAAATATTTTTTTTTGCATGTCAACGTTTCAAGGGCCCCTGAACATTTTGGCAAACCTCAGAAAAAAATGATGTTTGTGCGGATACAAATTTTCGTCTACAATTTCCATTGCATAAATCAACCGATTTGAATGATTCATAAAACATTCGATACATATCTCTGCTTTTATCTATAATTCAATTCCTATTGATTGAGACATACTGATAAGTTTATTGGAAAGATAGGTCTAGTTGTTTCGGAGATATGGGGAAAAAGATGCAGAAAATGTTGGGAGTTGTAACTGGTAGACCGTTAAGCGGGTAGGCACATAGACAGTTAGACAAATAATCAAGTTAAAAAGTGGAAAAAGGGAGATGTGGGCAGATAGACAGATAGACACGATAGATAGATAAACTGACAAACAAGTAGAGAGGTAAGCAGGTAAACAGGTGGACAGGTGGACAGGTGTATAGAGGTAGGTAATTAGGCAACTAGACAGATAGCTCGTATATGAATTAAAAACAATTATTGGAATAATGGGAACGCTATCTTATGCTTATATCTTGGTGGTGAAAACTGTGACAATGTCTTTCTATTTGCTCTGCAATCTGGCGTATTTTACATATAACAAGCAAGGTAGAATGTTATGATAACAGAATCTTCGCGCAGCAAATAGACATTTTCACAGTTTTCACTACCAAGAAACAAGCATAAGATAGTGTCGTCATGATAACGCTATGTTATGGGGCAGAATTATTTCCACATATTGGATCATTTATGTATCTTACTACAAGGCAAAATGCCACCTACAGCAAGTTTATTTTTTTAAAATATTCATTATTCTTGGTGATAGTTCTGGACATTAATTGTGGTATTATTAGTATGTACAATTATAACGGTAAATTAGTAGTAATAAAAAGTACAAATTTTAAATTGAATGTTTTTTAAGCAATATTTAAATAAAAAGATTTTATTGCATTTATTCTATAAGAAATTTTTAACTTAAACTATTTAAATATAATGTTTAATTACATCCTGAAATCATGAATAACATGAATACTTGTAACTTGATGTAACTGTTGTTTTCTTTACATTTATATTGAATTCGATAATTCAAATGTTTTGCAAAAACGTCTTGAATAAAAGACACATAGTTATATTAAGAAAGTATAAAATATTAAACTATAAAGTCATGCAAATTAAATAATTCCTTATGATTGCACTTGAATGAAAATAGTAACAATACCTGTCGTTTATAAAAATGACTTTATATTTATATTATTTTGCATTGCTTTAACAAATTATTTATTTACAATTGTCCATTATTCTTCCTTCTTTGCGTAACCAGGCCTGCACTCAGGGTACTTATCCGTCATAAAACTCTTTAATTCACCATGCTCCACCAACATATTAAGCCTAACCAGATCGTGGTTCCTCCTCTTTTCACATTTCTTCAAATATAAAGTATGAGATGGCATACTAGCGTAGAACGGTGGGTATTTTTTCTTTTTCAAAACAACTTTATCATTCATAATGTATCTATTATAATCTATAACTTCATCACGACTAATTTCTTCTGCAGACCTAGGATTTTTAGGAGAGGCTACGACGACAGGAAATTCATTGTTGCCTTTAGAAAATTCTACTAAATGTAATCGCTTTTCTTCAGCGATGACTTGATGGCTTTTTTGTTGCAGTAAGCCTAAGAAGAAGGCTTTGACAATGTTTTGTAAGTTTGTGGAGCCTTCAACTTTAGCATGTAAGTCTTTTATTCCGATGACTTCACAAATTGATTTGATGGCTCGATGGCATACCAAACCATGGCCTTCAGCCTTTTTGGTAACAAATATTTTGGTTTTACCAAAGCACGTGAAAAAATCATGGAATATGGTATGATTTTTGTATAACTCAAAGTACATAAGTTTTTGTCCAGCTCTGTTTTTAGCCCTGCGCAAAGCTGCTCTTGTGTCAGCAGCTTTACCTAAACCAAACCGGCCAAACCTTTGTCCGTTACCTGTCACCACAAAAATGGATTGGCAA